TACATGAGCCAATCGCAGCCTGATAGGTGTGAACTTTACGGACTAAGGCTGTATGAAAGGTTTTCTTCTATAAAATTAACCGATTCTAGACTAATTCCACTCAACATTTCCAAAACATGTATAATTTTTTGGGAATAATCTGTATAAACGATGCTATAAACAAAAAATTATAGGATTACTTACCGAGTGTGCACCATTCGACTACGCCATTGTTCAAAGCTTGTCTTCGTCGCGGAACAGCACACGAAACGGTGGCCGCGATTTCTGATAAATAATTTTTCGCAGAAAAATAACTTGACCTTTGGAGACATCATTAATATAAATAATTTTTATGGCCGTTGAATAAGAAGTGTTTCTTTCACAAGAAATGTATAAAATTAGTGCTGTATTAGACTTACGGTACCTAATTTACATACTGTACAGACGATAATAAACTCAACTTACTAGCCTAAAATCTCCGTAGCGTGTTGCCAGGCGGCAGAAAGCATATATATAATTATAATAAAGTTACAATACATTAAGTTAATATATAATTATATGTACAGTACCTAATTTATATATAATTTATATATAATACTGTACAGACGATAGCAAACTCAATTTAGCCGCTCCGTAGCGTGGCGCAGGGTCGGAGGAAAGTAGTTCGGCTGCTCATCCACTATTGGTCCAGACTCTATCAATCTTGTCGTGAAACGAGTCGGCGAAGACGTTTTAGGAGGTGCTTTATATGAATGTTGCTACAATTTTTTCGCTACGTTATAGGAATTGTCGCTATAGGAACGCACGTTATAGGGGGTCGACTGTACTTTCATCTAAAATTCCTCTGTAAAAAGTAGTACTAAAATTTATTGTGGGAATCAAAGAATGGATGTAACAAATTTACATTATCATAACACTTTATGTTGCTGAGATAGTTTTATTGAAAACTAACGTTGAACCAGAGAATTGGAACATCAGAATTCCAAAAATAGAATACATATATTTAAATTCAAAAATTGACAATGGAAAAAAATAAGAAAACAACAGAAAATTAATACATATAAATATAAATATAAAATAAAAACAAAGTCAGGTATAGTAATAAAAATAAAAATTCACTAATAATACTTTGAACAAACATTAAAATAAATTATTAAGGTATATTGATAAAACATGCAATTATAAACTAAGGTATAAATTATGAGTTTATGGCAAACTTTTTGACTATAAATTTCCAAACCAATGGTAGGCAGAAGGCCTGCCATCGACTTGGAAATTTTAATTTTTGTTCAAAGTATTATTAGTGGATTTTTATTTTTATTACTATATCTGACTTTGTTTTTATTGACAAGACTATGTCTAGTTTATAAAATCATGGTGCCTTCACAGTTTACCAGCTTAGAGGTATAAGGGAGTACATGTCAGAAGTTGCAATTTGGCACAGAGTATTAGGTGTCCAAATCATGTGTGCATAAAAAAACCAGACTTGTAGATACTCAGCGGACCGAGAACCAAGTTAAAATAAGACACAAAATGGAAACACACTTTCTACAAACAGGCACTAGTGCAAGATTTGCACATGCATTGCTCGTTGGGAAGTTGGAAATGCAAACATTACGCATTTTTGAAACTAAATGACACTAGTCATTATAATTTCATATTTTCATATTAAAACTAACTTCTGAAATATAATTTTTTTTGTTTTTAATTTATTAATATATTTATTTTGTTTGTGCAAAATAAAAAATAATTTTGGATGATACAATAGCCATGATTATTTTTAAAAAATGGGAAATTTTTGTTAGGCATCATTAGGCATCAACAAAAATTCAACCTGGGGCGACATGTAACAGAGAGAAATTTTGACATTGGATAGGTTAATTTCACCAATAAATGCATCATGGATGATGTTGTGGCCAAGGCTGGCGAAGTTTGAACGATCATGCTCAAAACCAGTGATACCAAAGAAGATTGGAAAATGAGAATGAGACCTGCCATGAGTGTCAAAGTGATTCCACTTAGTATTTTTCCATTGTCAATTTTGGAATTTAAATATATGAACGCTGATATACCAATTCTCTGGTTCAACGTTAGTTTTCAATAAAACTATCTCAGCAACATAAATAGTGTATTATGATAATCTAATTATTTACTGAGCATGTTCTGTTAAATTTAACAAATTTACTTTGAAAAAACTTTTGTGTACATAAAAAAAAGCATACCATATTTTAATCAGCCAAAAGAATCCCACTTTTATTAGTTAATTATCAAAAATTGATTTAAATTTAATCATTTTAAAGATAAAAATTAAACACAATAAATGCAAGAAATAATGTTTTGATGAATGTCATAATAAATTGGTCTGTAAAATAGTTTCTTCTGCTCATGCTACTATGAGAATAGTTAATTTCCTACTGACAGTTGACTAAACACAAGTATATAATATAATTTTAAATATGAATTTTGGAAAAAAATACCAGTCCTGTTGAATCTATGCATACAATCCTGACTCCAGAATTTAAACCAGTGAATAAATAAGCTGAAACAATTCCATTAATTACACTTAGAAGTTTTCTATTTGTCTCTTAGTTTGTTGCAGTTAGATTCTTATCTTTGTTTTATTTTTATCATTGTTTTTCTATTGACTGTTTTAAGACCAATTTATATTATAGACACAATGATAAATAGTAAATGATAAATAATGAAACATTCAATAGTCATAAATAACTTGCAACCAATAGAAAGGCTGCGAAAAAATTAATTAATCAAATTAGTCAAAGAAACAATTGATATTCAAAGAAAAGCATTTGACATAACAAATATTGCAACAAGTAAAAAATAGTCAGGTTGTTTTCTTGGGAGTTCCTCTTTGGTAAAAGTAAGCTTGGCATTTTGACACCATACCGTAAACTTTTTATTATTGTCTCTGCACTTCATGTTTTTGCTTTAGTGACATAGTGTAGCTTTCAAAAACAAATTTCAAAGACATTCTTTGTTTTAAAATTTAATGGTTATTAAGCTTTTGTATCTGCTTCTTCATACCTTTTGGAAAATGTTTCACTTGGACATTGAAAGACCTTTCTTTGACTGTTCTATTTTATTACATATGCATTTCAGACATTTATGTTATTGTTCAGTTTAAAGTAGATGCGTTTTGAGTTACAAGTTCTTTTATATATTTACTAAAGACACTATATACATTAAATATTCATTTTTCTTTCTTTATTTTTATTACACTTATCTTTTCATTGGTTTTATCTGAGACCATTTCTAAAAATATACTAGATCTTTGCTGATTTTAATTTTCTAAAAGGGAATTTTTAATTTTAAAAATTCTTTTTTCTTTTTTTCCTTTAACAGTTTTTTTATTTTATTTTATTTTATAAAAGACTAGAATTTGTTATTTTTTTCCTTAAAATGACCTAGAGATTCTACTATGTTTTATTAGTAAAGTAAAAGTCTAGTGACACCCTCAGACTATAAAAAAGAGAGGAAACAATTTTTAAAAAAGGGCATCATACATTTTACAAGAAGCTTCAAACTGTGATTCAGTGTCAAAACAATTGGGGCTAACTTAGCATTAAAACAAGGCAGTTTTGGTTAACATACAAGAATGTTACATGGGACAATGGACAAATATTGTTCATTAGTTTCTATTATATTTGAAGAATAAGCTAGAAGTCACCAATTCCCTGTTGTTTGTTTATACAGTAGAGCGTCGTTTATCTGAATCAATTGGGGACTGGGGTTGTTCAGATAACTTATTTTTCAGATAACTGATTATGTATGAAAAAATATGTTAACCTATCCCATGTTGAAATTTTTCTCCATTGCGTGTTGCTTCACATTGAATTTTCGTCAATGTTAAGCCCAATAAAAATTTTTATAATAATAATCGTGGCTGTTGTATCGTTAAAAATTATTTCTTTATTTTGTACAAACAAAATAAATATATTGAAAAATATAAAAACAACCAAAAAAAAAAAAAAACTTTAGAAGTTAATCTGGTATCAAAAACGTTTAATTCAGCATGACACAGAGTCTGCAGAAAAACACTACACAAAAGTGCCAGTGCTGCCGGCTAAAACACACACACCAACAAAAAAAATATTGGAGTAGCCCAAGACATGGCCAAAGGTTGTAGCGTCACAGCAATAGCGGAAATTTAAATTTGCTGACTGGAATGCTTTTGGTTAATCGATGCTTTGGTTGACCGGCTTTCAGATAAATGATGCTCTGCTGTAATAGAATTTGTGCTCTCTTAGACAAGAAAGGGGGCATGAGTTCAAATGTTCCAATGTGCAGGTGTGCCTGTACAGGGTCCTGTCTTTACATGTATTAAGATATTTTGAGCTACTATGATGTTTATTCAAGTCACTATATACATTCTTTCTTTTCTCACATGTTGAAAACTGATCAGACGACTGAGTGGTATAGATTGCCACCATGATCAAATTCTGGTTGTGATCATTGCAAAATATTTTCCACATAGAATCCACTAGTGTGGTCTTTACCTAATTTGTAAAAAAAGAATAAGGTGAAACATTCAATTTTATTACAATATTTACAATACAATGGTGAAAACATTTATAATTATACAATTAATGTTAGCAAACTAAAATGTTTTTATTAAAAATGTAACTTATTCTGTATTTTGCATTCTATTGTTTATGGGTTTTGATCTCTCAAAATATTGATTGATTGAATATATCCAAGTTATCTTAGTTTATTTTGTATGTTAATAATGGAGTACATGTCAGAAGTTGCAATTTGGCACAGAGTATTAGGTGTCCAAATCATGTGTGCATAAAAAAACCAGACTTGTAGATACTCAGCGGACCGAGAACCAAGTTAAAATAAGACACAAAATGGAAACACACTTTCTACAAACAGGCACTAGTGCAAGATTTGCACATGCATTGCTCGTTGGGAAGTTGGAAATGCAAACATTACGCATTTTTGAAACTAAATGACACTAGTCATTATAATTTCATATTTTCATATTAAAACTAACTTCTGAAATNATTGGAAACTTTAGCACATATTTTAAAAAATGTATGTTTATTATAAATATTATATTTGTATTTAATATTAATGAAGTATTTATATATTATGTATATTTGTAGAATGCCCAGGGTTGGTTTGACGAATGCTTGCAGCATTCATTAATGAAAGAGTTGCTCAGTTCTGGGCTAGTACCATTATTACGTTGGTCATTAGATGATAACTCAGAATCTCTGCTTGCTGCTGCTATTCATGCAATTCGTAATTTAATTTATAATGATTATGATGAGGTAAAATTAAAATATTATTAGCATATTAAATATATATATGTATATATAATTTTAATAATATAATTTTGTTAATTATCTAATTTTTTAAATATATAATCTTATTTTTCAAAGTAAATGTAATAATTTTTTATTTTAAATTATTAATGGAAAGTTAAGCTTTTATTACAGGTTAATAATTGATTTCATATGCAAAAATTAGATCTATTTTATTTACAGATTTGTTTAGACTTAACTTTTGCTTGGAAAGGTGGTCACATAAATCCATTTTTAATACCCATGAAGCAAGAAAATTTAACAGAAAATAAATTAGAAGAAATGGCTGATATTGAAATTCTTAAATTTGATGTTATTAAAGTAATTAATATATTAAAAAATTATATAAAATTAATTTTATTTTTCATAAATATTTCTTTGTGTAAGAGAATTTTGAATTTTAGGGATTACTTCGTATGGATCTACTTCCTAGATTACGATATATTTTGGAAATTTGTCATCCACCAGCCTCTGTTATTGGGCATATTTTTGATATTTTAATTCATATTGGACGTCATTCATTAGAGTCATCTGTAAGAGTAAGTAATTTTAACATCATATTTAACCTAACTAGTGTGGTGTGTCAAAATGCTACTTGGATCTTGCATTCTGATGTAAGTTTATTGTCTTTAATTACTAATAGCTTGTTAATATCCAAGTCAAGTTCATATCAGTAGTTGCACAGATTCTGTGCTGTTGAATGGTTTGGTTTAATAGGCATTCCGTTTTGTATCACATCAGTTGAGTTTTTGACAAAGATATGGTATATTGTATACCTTATCTATGTTAGAATTGCATCTGGCAGTTATTAACCTATATTTTAGAACAGGGGTGTCCAACCTTTTTCTTTCTCTGGGCCGCATTGGAAGAAGTCAAGGAGTTTTGGGCCACAGGTACATATAATATATACTTGTGGCCCAATATGCAAGTATATTTAAGGATTAACATGTCTAGATTATAATAATAAGTATTAAAACTTTATCAAGAAAAAGGATATTTTAAAAATTACTTCTACAGACACTTTCAATTTTTACTTAGAAATAGATAAATTCATTTATTATGAAAGCTACAAACAAAAATTTATTTGAAAAACACAAATATTTGTTTTATTTGGGTCTCTAATTAATAAAAAGCGACGAAACGCCATTTTAAAGTGCATTTTTATTCAATTAATATAATAATAAATCATATGTAGCCCAAAAAGTAGCCAAAGCGCCAAATGATATTTTTTACGTCAAACAAAAAAAGTAGCCACATTTCGCGCAATGTAGCCAAATCTTGCAACTTTGGAAAAAATACTAAATAAAGCTTGAGTTGTGAATCAAAGGATTATAGACCCAAGTGCGGGGAAAGGAGAGAAAGGACAAAAGGTAAATAAGTGAGAAAGGTTGGAAAATTAAGGGTCAACAGAAGATCTATTTAACCTTTCTCACTACTACATCTTTTGTTTTTTCTCATCTTTCTCTCCTTTTTCCAAATTTGGGTCTATAATCCATTGAGTCAGAACTCCAGCTTTATTTAGTAATCCTTCCTCATTCACACATTTCCAAGTATTTGAAAATATTTCCTTTCCACTCAAAAATAAAATATGAATAAAGATTTATGGCTTTGTGAAACTTCTTTTTTGAGTTTATGCCGTTGAAATAGATAAACAATTATTTATTATTATTATTCTTTATTAGTACACATAGTACAGACTCGGAACCGCATTGGCACAACCGGGTATGATGTACTGTACAGTTACAACAGGGCAATTATATAGAGTATTACAAGATAAGCTTATATATGAACAGTAGAATAAGATAAATAAATAATAAAAAAATTAAAACATTTTGTCGGTTTTGTTTAAACGTTTATTGGGCCGCATTGGAACTTGATTTGGGCCGCATGCGGCCCGCGGGCCGCGGGTTTGGACACCCCTGTTTTAGAACATAATAGTAAAGTCCCAACTCAGAATAGTAGAGATGTGAAACTGGTAAAAGCAACTTTAGTTGACAGGTATCTCCCTTTGTAAAACTGTAAAATTGACTTTAACATTTCCAGACCATGAGGCCTAATTACATAAGTTGATGTAGTTGATGTCTTTTAATTTTTGTATTATTGTCTTTGTAAACATTTTAATGAATGACATTGACATGTAAAAAATTTTCTTTCTTACATTTAATACATGTTATGTAGAATCTTGTTATAATTTTTATTTGAATTGCTATTTTTATGCACTAGTTCTATTTTGTAAATCTCTGATAATGGTATTTTGTGTATATTGAAAAAATTTGATTATATTTTTAACTTTTTTCTTTTAAGCATTCTGAATACCAAGAAACTTAATTTTCATCTTTACCTTAATCTTATATAGTGTTTGCCTTTTTCATCTTACTTGACCAAGACTTAATATGACACAGGAGGACTCCTGTTTGACACTAACAGATATTTAAGACAAATATCAGCATATCAACTCAATCTAAAGCTTATTGCAACAAATAAACAGATAGTTTTGACATTAATAGTGTATAGAAGGTTTCATGAAAGATGGCTTTATGTGAGTTCCCACCTCACTCATTCACTCAGAAAGACATATGAGGTTATTTGGATGTACACAATACCTAGAATAGTCTACAAATCAATAGATCAACATTATTTTCTATGACAAGTCCATTTCAATCTACACAGTGATAGTTATTGTATGTTCATGTGAGAACTTACAGAAGCCATCACCATATTTCCAACATCAGAGGGTCAGTGGTTTAATAGTATGAGAGTCACATTATATCACATGAATGCATACTATTCCATGTTTTATCTCGAGATCTCTGACAGTATTGGTCTAAAATTCTTGTTTATGGCTGATGAATACACATATTTACTTAGGCCATGTTAATGGAGAATTTCTTAAATGTATATATATTTAAAGAATATAGTGGCCAGCCAGTTTTCCAGATCTCAACTTATAAGTTATAAATAGATGCATTAGTGTAATGAACTACAGCATATTAATTCCTTTCTAGAGCTATAACAGAGCTCTGGTCTATTGTTTAGCAGGAATTGGATTTATTGCTGAAAAATTTCTAGTATCCTCATGAATAATATGACACTTGATTATTATAAGAATTCATAAGACACCTTACTGAACTTCTAGCACTAGCAAATATCTGTAAAATTCCTTCATTTGAGATTCTCATGAACTGTGTTGACCCAGATTGTCATGAGCCATAGATACTTTTTCCTTATGTTTCACTACACTGTGTAATATGCATCTGTTTGAATTGCACGACTCCAAATTGCGATGTCATTTCATTATATCATGTTTTTCATTTTTTGCTTTTTGTCAACTATGCTTAATTTTAAACAATAATGTTATGTAAATATTACTTTTAATTATCTAGATTTTTGAATGCCCAAGACTGCTAAATTTAATAACGACAGAATTTTTACCAACAAATTGGAAATTTGCAGGTAAAATTTTTGATTTCAAATCTTATGAATGAAATATTTATAGATCAAAATGCTATTTTTCTTTTAAGATATTCCTAAATTTCTGATTACTATTGATAAATTTATTGATTAAAAATAATAAAATTATTATTATAATTTTTCTACAAAAATTTAATAATTTTTCTGTAATATATCTGTTTTTTTATTTCTGTAAAGTTACAATGTTCTTGACATATTTGTTTCATTAATTATTGTAGTTATAAATTCAAATAAGTTTTTGATATGCAATTATAGGATATTTAAAGATCAAACAACTTTAAAATAGGACAATGAATTTAAAGATTTTATTTAAAAGAAAAATTTAAATTTTATGACAAAGAAAATCATGTGTCATCTACTTTAAAAGCATTTGTCTTTTGTTTGATTTGTTAGTTGTTCAATGTAAACATCTTGTAAAAGTTTTTCAATCATTTATTTTTATTTTTAAGTTATACTAAATATTATGAAAGTCTGTTTAGTATATTTTTTACATTACAATAAAATTGCTTTAACACACACAGTCTAGGATTTTTAGAAAAGTTTTATTTTTAAATTTAAAAGTATTTTATTAAAACATTTATGAAATCTTAAATTTTTATTTGATTTCAGAAATTGTTCAAGGTCAACAATGTAATGTTTATGGATTTCCTTCAAGATCTGCTGTTAAATTAATAAGAATTTTGTCATTATCTGGATATAATATTGCTTCCCGTTTGGTAATATTTATTAATAATGTTAAAGTAATTATAAATGAAATTTTCAAATTTTAACATTTAAATCAAATATTTTATTAAATAGATTGCAGATTTTGGAATTATTAATTCATTGTGCTGTTATATAACAATGGATCCTAGGTAATTTTATAATAAATATTTTAAGATACTTTAAATAAATATATTTTGAATTAAAAAAAATAATTTATTTATTTATTATTTTATCATATAATATTTTTATATAATAGGAAATAAATATGTTTTCAAAGCATAAGAGAAAAAATTTGTATTATACAGTAACTCCTTTATCTAAGAGGATACATTCCAAGACTCCCAGTGGATGCTTGAAACCATGAACAATACCAAACCATACATATATGTTTTTTCCTATGCATACATATACTATACATACTTATAATTAAGTTTAATTTTTAAATTAGACACAATAAGATATTAACAACAATAACTATTAGAGCTAGGATATCTAGGTACTAAAGATCATATAATCTATACTAATATTATAAAGAGGTAATGTTTGTAAGTATGTATGTATGTAAGTTTGTTTGCAGCAGGTAATCTCCGAAACTACTCATCCGATCTAAAAAATTCTTTCACCAATATTTAGAATGGCACCTCAGGCTGGACATAGGCTGTATATTATTCCGTTAAACATTCATATAAATTAAAATATATAATCTAGGTTAAGGCTTTTATGTCCAACAGATGGCGCTACGAGTACGACGCCCTAAGTTTGCTTTTCTGTGAAAATGAACTAAAGCAGATCATCTTCTATCTATTTATATAAATAAAAATGTAACGTTCGTTTGTTCCTACTGATTTCTTTGAAATGTTGACACAACGCTGCATTCGAATACGCACGTTTTTATATACTGTAATATACCTGTCGAAATTCCCCCTCACTGAAGGGAGATGGTTAGGATTAAGGCTTACGGTAAAGAACTCTGCTTCTATTTATACTATTTTAGATGCGGGTTTTTGCGTTTTTGATTGCGTTTTAATAGGGTATGTCAACAGAATGTACACTAAGAAGGGATTTTTTGATATTCCCCCATGGGGGAGAGGGACAGAATTAAGGCTTACTGTGAAGAACTTGGCTTCTATTATATTATTTTAGAAGCAGGTTTTTGCGTTTTAATAGGGTACGTCAAGAGAATGTACACTAAAAAGAAATTTTTCGAAAAATTTCCCCCCCACGGGGGAAGTGTTATACATTTATAATATATACCTTTTGAGCCACAACAACGTGTGGCGGGGTCTGCTAGTCATCTAATAAAATCGTATAAGTTATCACTCTTATAACTCATCAGTTATAACTTATGTGATTTTTATAACTACAGTAACTCCTCATTGTATCACACCTTGCTATATTGTTCATTTGATACATCACACTTTTTGTCTTCCAAATATAAAAACACAGCCAATAATTTTAAAAAATAGTTGCCATTGAATTTCTGATGGCATCCTTGAAAGTACCATTGTATGAAATACAACCCATAAAAAAGCAAGTCGGTATGGAAGAATGGACAAAATGGGTGGATTAATATGTTGGTTATATTGTGCCATCAGATTTATTACTTATTTGGTTTGTTTCTCAACATATGCAATATAATGAGGTGCTACTGTATTTATATGATTTTTAATGCCTAGATATCATAGTTAAAACTTACAACTTATGGTAGGACATCTAGTAATAGAAATCATAAAAACCATTTATGTGTGTTTTTAGTGCCTACTTCTCCTAGCTTCTCTACTAATAATAAAATAGAACAATTATAACAGTATACTATAATAAAAGTTATATGAATATGTCTTCAACATATAAGTTATTTCTTTCTTTATTAAGTGAACTTTTACCTTTTCACTTAAAGTAAATATTTCTTTTTGGCATTACTATTAGTATGATTTAGAGTCATTATTAAATAAAATAAGGCTTACTTGAACATAAGCAGTGTAATACCATGATAATTGATCTGATAACCAAGATGACTACTAAGTGACTAATGGCTGGGTATCATATACAGTGTGAATACACTGGACAGCGGGATGATTACAAACTGGGCAGAATGGATGGAGCAGCAGAAGAGTTCATCATGCTGTTCAGAATGGTAAACAATTTGAAACTTAAGAATTGTTTATTTCTGGAATTTTTCTTTCAATATTTTTGGATTATACAGGACTGCAGGTAACTGAGACTGCAGGAAGTGAATCCTTGGATGAAGGAGTTACTGTACATTTGTTCATTTATAAATCATAATGACAACACAATGTGAATTTTATTTGTTTATATGTCACACTGATAGAAAGATTATTAATTTTAATCTTTATATTTTATTTATAAAATGTTGAATTTAGCATGGAATTTATAATAAAAATGAAATATTTTGTTAAATTTTTTATTTCATAAAGTGAGTAGTATCCATTTATAATTTTACATTGAATATCTTCATTAATACAAGGTCTATTAAAAAAATACGCAGACTGTTTGAATTGCGCGACTCCAGTTGGTTCTAGGGGAATTCGCTTGGTGTCGCTAGGTTTGTACAGATCGTCTGGTGATAAAGCCATTTCCCGATTACAGATATCTTTATTTGTTGACTAGAAGGTAGGCCTGGCGTTGCTCGGGTAAAGGTAACGATATCGAAGATTAAGATTATTACGTTTACCCATTTTCACAGAATGCAAGAATTGGGTTCCCCATTTCCAGACTAATTAGAGAATTTTTAGATGGGTCTAAAAATATCTTTGATTTCTTGCAAAAACGAAAAAAACTGCACTTTCTCTTAACATTTCTATTGTTAAGCAACACTTCCATTGTTGACACTTCCATTGTTATTTAACACTTCTATTGTTGATGGAAGTGTTAAGCTTAATCCTGTCCCTCTCCCCCGGAGGGGGGGAATTTTGAAAAACCCCTTCTTAGTGTGCATTTTTGTGATGTACTGTATCCTAACTGTGTACCAAATTTCAGCTTTCAACCCCTAACCATTTGGACTCTGCGCTTATTATTATCAACTTTTCTCGATTTTATATATATATATATATAGATTAGCTACACAGTTTTTAGTGAAGTGCGATTTTTTCATTTGTCAGATTTCAAAATGAATGACCTGATGGAGCAATGACTTGCTGTAAAATTTTGTGTTAAACTTGGAAAATCTGCAACTGAAACATTTGCTATGCTCAACACAGCTTACGGTGATGTTGCTATGAAGTGTACAGCATGTTTGAAGTGGTCCCCAGACCCAAAAAAGCTCGCCAAGTTTGATCTAATGTCAAGGTGATGCTGACAGTTTTCTTTGATGCTAAGGGTGTTGTTCACCATGAGTATCTCCCCCAAGGCTCCACAGTGAACCAGACTTACTACATTGAAGTTCTGAAACGTCTGAGAGATGTCATCCGTCGCAAAAGGCCAGAAATGTGGAGGAGTGGCAACTGGTTTCTCCATCACAACAATGCTCCAGCCCATTCACACTTCAGAACTCGTGAGATTTGGCCAAATACTTGATCACTGTTATTCCATCCCTACTCACCTTACTCCTTGTGGCTTTTTCTTGTTTCCCAAATTCAAAAGACCCTTGAAAGGAAGAAGATTTGAGACAATTCCCGAGATTAAGGCAAATGCGATAAAGGTGCTGAAGGACATTACAAAAGAAGCATACCAGGACTGTTTCAACAAGTGGAAACACTGTTGGGATAAGTGTGTGCATTGGGAAGGAGAGTACTTTGAAGGGGACCCAGACATGTAACTTCTACATAAAGTACATTTTGTTTTATGACATCAGTCCGCGTAGTTTTTGAACAGACCTCATATGCTATTATCTAAATTTTCTGACTTCTAATTATAAATTTTTTATTAAAATAAACCACCATGTTAAATGAGGGTAATAGCTTCTATGGTAGTTTCTTATAAAAAAATAGTCTCACAATAAAAAAATGTTATACAGTATTAAGTTTAGAACTATTCACAGAAAGGGAACTGCATTCCAAAAGCTAACAAATAAAAATACACCATTTTATTTTTGTAATTACCAAAAAATAATTTTTATTAAATAGTAATAACTAAACAAACATCTTAAAAACTGTGATACAAATGTCAGAAATGTCAGAAAATGTAGTTCATTTAATTTTCTTTTTCTTCATTGCTACTAAGCAAAATTAAATGTTTTGTCTGTTGCAGAGTATCTTCATCTTCTGAACTTTCTTCTGAAGCATTTATATTTTGTGTATCTTCTGTTATTTCTAAAAAAATCAGTACTCTAGTTCTATTTGTTTTTTTTGATAGATCTTTGTAAATTTCATAGAAAGCAGCTATGTAATTTTGAATCTTTTCTTTCTTGTGAATTTTGTATTAAAGCTGTTATTTCAGATAACTAAATATGTGAACACTTAAGTTTTGGCTCTCAGGAGGACTTATCACACATTATTGACAGTAGGAGAAATTTTCTGTGATTTCAAAGGTGTCTCAATTTTCATGTGGAGACAGATAGAGACCAATTACAAGGAAGAAGGTTCAAAACCAATTGGGTTGTCAGAATGAGGGACTTAATCTACAAACACCCAAGGGCAAATAGCTCCCATTTCTGTCTTGCTCAGTCTCTAACCATTTTCATCTCCTTTTCCTTTGCTTTAATCTGTTGTGTTCAGTTGAGCCAAGCCTTTATTATTGTTTATTGGATGAGGATCTACTGTATTGTCTGGTATCTGGTTTTGTGTGTGTGTGTGTTTATTAAAAATATTTAGTCTTTGTAGTTTTTTTTTCTATGTATGTGTGTGTTGTTGCCATTGGGAATCTAGTGGGACTTCCTTTGTGACTTGGTAGGGCCAGTCTGGACTGAATCTCCTCTGGAATAATTGAAGTCAAGGAAAAGTTGTCCTGCAACAAAGAACTTTTAGCAACTTGGTACTATTGTAGCATTGTTTGTTAGAAACTTCCTTTACAAAATAACTCTCAATGCTCTCTCTCTCTCTCTCTCTCTAATAAATGGAAGTTAAAATTAAGAAGCAAGTCATTTCTCATCCTGAATCTGCTGCACCCACACATGTAAATACTTCTGCTAAGCCTTTCTTAATTAAAAATTCTTTGACTGAGACCAAATCCCATGGCTCACAAAAAGAAATGGAAACATTGATAAATTATATCCAACATAATAACAAGGCTTTCTCTGTATCAAATCTCAAAAATATTGTTATGTGAGGTTTGCAACAATTCTCTAATAGTAATTTTTTAGTTTGTTACAATATTTTAATAAACTTTATAAAAACTGAAAAATTATATAAATTATTATTTTTAAATATAATAAATTTAAAAATAATTTTGGTTCAGTCTTACTTTCTCACTAATCTTCCATCCAAAGGCAACAAAATTAAAATGACAATTAATGTCAGCAATTGTTTTTACAAATTGCCTTTTTGCCTTGACAACTCATGGAGATGATTAGTTAAGACTGTTGTTGCTAATTGTTCTCTTATTTTTTTTACTTGGGTGCATTGGTTTTTAACTGTTCCTGTCCAGGGTGTTTACATTCCTGATAAAGGAAGTTGCAATAATTATTACAGTCATAAGAATCTTTCAAAAAAGTATTTATAATAATTGTAATTACAGTATAGGTATGCATTAATTCAGATTGATTTCAGGAAGATTAATTTTTAGTACATCTTTTAATCTTATTATATCTTTCTTTAATGATAATTTTGATATTTTTGTTTTTGTATTCTTAAAAAAGTATTTAATTTAATTTAACATTTTTTGAAATTATTTAAAAACTCTTGTAATTTGTACTTTCAGTTGTAGTTGAATATACTGTGTGAATTTATGAATAATTTATATTTATTATTGTAAAACTTAATTAAAATTAAATATTAATATTTAAAATTTTTAACAAGTAGTAATGTTAAAATAATGTAATAATGTTTTGATAATGTTAGAAATATAATTTTGTTTTATAATTAATTTGAATTTAAATCTTATTTTTTAAATAGTGATGATAAACTTTCTCAGTCAGAGGCATTTGCACTTGTTAATGAAGCAATGAGAACACTTAAAGTATTATTAACTTATAATTTAGCAGTTCAAGAATATATGTGAGTTACATTGACAAAAGTTTGAAATAATTTAGAAAATTATAAATAAATAAACTAATGTAATTTATTTATAGTGATATTTTCCCAGTTTTTATTCAGAAACTTCATTATTGCCATTCACTGGATGTCACTGTTCAAAAAAATTTTAATGATTTTGAGTTTGCTTCTATATTGTTTCTGATATTTGAAATAACTGTGAATATTATTAGTGAAAGGTATTTTAATGATGCTTATTTTTTATAATTAATTAGAAAATTGGTTAATTATTTTATAAATATTCTATATTTCAGAAATTTAAATGAGTATTATCCTCTTAATTGGAATTCTGTCACAGAATTATATAAATTTACTGAAACATATTGTAAGAAATGGTTATGGCAATTAACATCTGGTGAAGAATGTTCAAATATGGTGAGAAGTTTTAAATGTTATGTTGAAATTCTTAATTCTAGTGTTTCCAGATATTTTTGTAATAGTGAAACTTAATTGAAATAAAAGCATTTCACACTAAAATTAAATTAAATGAATGTGGTTTAACTTCTAATTGGAAATTTTACTTGCCACTAAAACAACAATGAATTTTAAATTCTTGCTTCTCAGAATAAGCTATGCATTTGTATAACATGCCACAGGTCTGCTTATATTGTATATAAGCATATTTTTATTGTATATATATTGTATAAAATATAGCAATGGTAAGTGTTCTAAAAGGATTAACCATTATATGTCATTAAATTTTTTGAGAAAGATTCAAACTGCTTGAAACCTACATCAATTTAATACCTTTAAGAGTATTGTTTGGTAATAATAATTTCTGTAAGTTGCAAGTGTACACATAATATACAGAATTTGAGACAGAAAGAAAAGAAGTGGTTGATCTATGTGATCCTTACCAATCTACTTTTGTGTTTCCTGCTCATATTTGATCAGTAGAATTTGCAGAACACTTGTGTTGCAAACTTGCCCTGTTTCATGGGAAAAAAAATAGAAAAATTTTTAAAGTTTTTATTACAAATTTATTCCAATGTACTACAACATATTACTTTATTCATAGACATTTCCAAATTTACTATTTTATTCAATACAGTAAAGTTTATTAGTTTATTGCTTTATTGTTTTGTAAGATTAGTAATCATGGAAATGCTTATCAATTTGTTAGGAGTATTAAGTTGGTTGGATGTCACGCCAACAGTTATTTCAATCAAAACTTCTTCCAAAACTTCAGACTATGAGGCGTTAAATATAATTAAAAATATTTTATTCTTGCGAGCGCTTTCGACGTAAATATGCACGTCGTCTTCAGGCAATTCAAAATCGAATAGAGAATTCGAACCATACATTTAAATTTAAACATTAACGATATTAGCCGTTTTTGAATATAACTATTATAAATAAGATTTAAATTTTAGAATTAAAAACATTTAAAAATATTTAAAATTGGTACGCATGCGTTTTAAAACAAATAAAGTTCGATTGGAATGGCTATTAATTATTTTGTAAACGCGAAAAACTGGTACATATCATAAGAGCCAATTAGGGTGGCTATTAAGAACAAGTAAATTTTTACATTTTAAATTAAAACTATAAACCCTTTGTAAATACGTATAAAATTTTTGGCACGCATGCACCTTAACATAGACAGCATAGAAACTGAACAGAATAGATCCATAAGTGCTAGTTTACATTAATATTTAAATATTAAAGACTAAAGCATGGGACATAATTTAAAATACATAAAACACGTAAAAAGACGCACATAAAGAGGCCGACACGTATGCGCTTTGAGTCATGTAGGCGGTGCGGGAAAAGAATGTAAAATTATTGTTGATTTTTTAACTGCCTGTATATATTAATCCAGACGTCCGGTAAGTCGAGGGTAGGGGAGTTGCACGGGGAGAGCAGTTTTGTGAGGATGGCCTCCCAAATATATAT